TGCGAAACCTTCTTCCGTGGCCATGGGCTTCTAGCGTCGTGCTTGTTGCGGAAGAGACCTAGCCTTGGCAGTACGATGTCGCGAACCTGCCCCACAGCGCCAGACTTCCAATTGCTGATGGTCTTGTTAAGAACCCCGCCCCGTGCTTTGTCGGCTGCGAGCGCAAGGCTGGCGTACTTGAGAGGGAGACGCTCAATCACACCGCAAAGGCCCTTGGTTTTGTCGTTGCTGCTTGGGTAGAAGTTGATGATGCGGTTGGGCTTAGCAAACATCATCCACAGGCAGATGTGCACGCACAGCTCCTGCGGTTATAGGACACATGCACAACGCAACCGCCGAGTGAGAGGAACGAAAAAATATGTAGAAACAACGCCACAAGTACCAGGCACAAGTGTGCAGAGAAGCGCTACTGCAGTGGCCCCACCTTCCATGCCTTGTCGGCAGGCAGCACGTCAAGTGCATCCTGCACAATCGGGGACGCAGAATGCGTCATGTGGCGGCAAATGACGGCCATGTCTCCATCCTCATCGTAGGACGACTCGCCCTCGTTGACGTGCCTCTCCCCCCTGCAACGCTTGGGGCGGCTGCCACTGTGCGAGGCCGAATCGCAACTGCGTCTGCGACGGCGGGCAGGCTGGCTGTTCGCCATGGTTGCAACAGCAGGCTCAAGCCGTGCAAGGGCCCTCGCATTGTCCCGGCATGACTTGATGAGCAGTAGGAATTCCAGACGCGTGACTGTCGGCTCGGTCTTCTCCGGCTCCGGCTCGGCATCCTCGTCAGCTCGGCATCTTCATCCTCATCCTTCGGCCAACACCCGCATGCAGGGTGTTGGCTGGATCGTCATCCGATGACTCGGGAGCGTCCTCCTCTGCGCTGTCGCCTCCCTGGGACTCGTGCAGGATGTCGTCAATTTGGCAAGAACTCTCGGGGGGCGGGTCTGCTGGGCTTTGCTGCCTCTCATCATCACCGCTGCTGTCGGCAGATGGTGTGGCTGTGCGCGAAGGACGCCCCAACGATGTAGACGTCTCATGCGTTACGGCACTTGCAACACCCCAACAACGCATATGGGACGAGCGCATGAACGTGACATGTGTGCGGATACCACCTGCAATGGAGAATATCTTCGAGTGTATCTGCCGTTTGAGGATACCACCTTTTCATGTTTTGCTTGTAGTGTTTGCCGTGAGGGGGCAGCGGCATCGTTTCGAACGCACGGCCTCATCGCGGGATGTCCATCTGCCGCGGTGAGTCAGATGGTAAGTGTTCCTGAGGTATGCCGGAGGATTTGAGATACGATGTGAGCGCCCAGAGGCCTGAGAGTCCATTTTCTAAATCTGACAGGAAAAATGAGTTGGTGAAAGCACTCCGCCTATATGTGCTTGGCTTGCTCCATGGTACGCTGTGTGCTGTGGTGCTGGTGCCCTAGAGGTCACACCACCAGCCACCACGCAGTGGTGTGTGTTACAACAAATAGGAAAGCGCCAATGACGTCGCAATGCGTTGCTGGAAGATAACATCAACTCTTTGACCATTGTCGACAGAACACATGAGAAACGTCGAAATATCCAAAGGCGTGAAGTGTCATACCCGGTATGCATTGAAAATTTGAAAAGGGCACTAAGCTCACAAAAGTTGGTTCGGCATATGTACAGAAAAACACGTTCAATAGACTATGATGCAGATTCCTAAAACCAAGAACTCAAGCTAACCACAAGGCGACATTTCACACTAAGCCAGGCGACACCGTAGACAAACGGTGCCTTCTCCATGGACACTCTTGAAACACCAGCAACAAAGTACTCCGCCGCTATCCTGTGCACATGTTGAAAAAACCAGAAAACAGGTCACACAAGTAGAGAGATTTTTACGCCATACGGTTTTGTGGGTTCTTCCACCGATGCCATGAAGAGATGTCGGACAGCACATCTAAAAGCAAAAGCACCCCACATGAGAACCATGAAACACCTGCCTGTAATCCAACGTCCGGCACATGCCCCCCCTAGTCCTCGTCCCATCTGGCCGGATGGAAAGGGTTGAACGCATCATCGGCGTTTGCATCCCCGTTGCCCACGTCCGCGTCCTCCACCCCCGGAAAGCCGCGCTACTTCGGGCTGGAATCTGTCTCCGCCCCTTCATTGGCCGACCGCCCCTCCGTGTCGCATCCTCGCGCAGGCCTCGCCAGCGACATGCATCCGCCAGTCCCCCCTCCCACCCGTTGCATGCGGACCTCTTCCACAGCGACGCGCCACTCCCGCCACCAGCACTACTTGCGCAACCTGCTGAGAGTACGCACGTCGCTGCCAACACAGCCCACGAGCAAGGCATGCTCTTGCGGGGAAAGGGGGATCACCCCTTCGATGACGGAGTGAGTACGGAGTACATGCGCAGCGGGTGCATAGGAAGACGTCGGTGGAGCTGAAGCAGCTCAAGAGGAAGCTGGGGGTCTACAAAAAGCTGCACAAACCCCGAACTCCTCCTCCGGATGCATCTAGTTCTTCGGCATCAATGACGCGCACAGTAGTCAAGAAAACTCCGGGCCCTGGAGAAGAGCCGTTCTCCAAGCAGCCTCGGCCAGCTGCCAGCCCAGGAGTAGATAGCAACACAAAGGTGTGTACGGAATATTGGGATGTACCCTATGACCCAATAAATGAAACCATCTTTGGGTACTCCGAGCAACGCCTGCCCCTCGTGCTTGAGGTCATCTCCAAAGGACGACGCCTCCAAGCACTCGTAGACAGCGGAGCATCGCACACCGTCTGCGACAAGGCAGTAATAGACCGACTTCGGGAAGAGTACAAGCCTTCAGGATTCTCTACAACGATGGTAGACGGAAGAAAAGTTACCAGTACATGGCGAAGCAGTGCTACACCTACAAATTGGACCACTGCGCTGGAGACCTATACTCCCCATCACCAACATCAAAGGGCTTGACTTGATCTTCGGGCGAGACTTCTTAAAAAGATTCAACCCCGAGATCAACTGGGTGAACCACACCGCAAGCATCTACAACAATGGATGGAGAGTACAGCTACCCTACTGGGACGATACAGGAGATATCCCAGTGGAGACACTCGCACGATTCGAGAAGGACGTGAAGCAAGCTGATACCGGGTTCTGGGCGATAGCAACAGAGGCGGAGAACGACAGGGAAAAGACCTCGGAACCTCCGAAAAAGATCAAGGAATTATTGAAGGAGTTCCAAGACATTCTTCCTGACGATCTTCCGAACGAGCTACCGCCATACCGAACGCATCAATACGAGATCGTGGAGGAATCGGGATATCGAAGCCAACCTTCCGAACCATATATCGGCTCAGCCCTACGGAGCTGACCGACATGAAAAAACATATCGAGTATCTCCTTGCCAAAGGACTCATCCGACCATCCACTTCGCCATACGGTGCCCCAGTAATCTTCACACCGAAACTGGACGGAAGCCTGCGCATGTGCATCGATTACCGGGCTCTTAACAAGCAGACCATCAAGAAAAAATATCCGATACCGCGAATCGATGACCTGCTTGACCAGCTTCAAGGAGCTACGGTATTTTCCCAACTGGATCTGCGGTCCGGATACTGGCATATACGGATGGCGGACCACTCTATCCACAAAACTGCTTTACGAACTCGGTATGGATCGTACGAGTATTTGGTAATGCCATTCGGACTCACCAACGCACCAGCAACATTCCAAGCCGAAATGAACCACATTCTACGACCACTTTTAGACGAGTGCGTGATGGTATACCTGGACGACATCCTCATCTACTCGCGCGACATGAAGCAGCACGTCGAACACCTGCGACACGTCTTCGAAATTCTTCGACGAGAACGGTTCTACGTCAAACTGTCCAAGAGTGAATTCGCCCTTGAGAAGGTCCAGTTCCTAAGACACATGGTGAGCGCTCAAGGAGTTCACGTCGACCTCAAGAAAACCGAAGCCGTACGTACGTGAAAGACATCCGAGAATGTGTAGGAGTTGCAGCAGTTCCTAGGCTTCGCTAATTACTACAACAGGTTTGTGCCACAGCATGCGAAACTCGCAGCACCACTCACGAATCTGCTGAAGAAGAACACGCCCTACAAATGGGAGCCGAAGTACCAAGAAGCCATGGAGCAGCTGAAGCAAGCACTCACGTCCGCACCAGTACTCATCTTGCCAGATCCCGAATGCGACTACGTCATCGAAGCTGACGCCAGTGACCAGGCAATGGGAGCAGTCTTGATGCAAGACCAAGGAAATGGACTGCAACCAATCGCCTACCTCAGCAAGAAACTGCACGAGGCAGAACTAAACCACCCGATACACGACAAAGAGGCCCTTGCCATCGTCATCGCCTTCAAAGCGTGGAGATGTTATCTCGAAGGACGAAGAACAACCATCTACACCGACCACTGTGTTGTGTGATGTCATCATATGTTATCACATTCTGTCTGCCTCCCATCCCTTGTTTCAATTCGCACGTATGGTTTGACTGTGTGTGAAAGAATTTGTGTGGTGTGTGTTCTGGAGTTTGGGAATGTGTTTTGTGTTATTCTGTCTGAGCAGGTATTTGTGATGATAGATCTTGAGAAGATCTTTCCGACGCAACAAGAATCGCGTCAATCGGAGCAAGAACGCGAAAGCTATGAAGATTCAAAGTTCATGAGCTTGCGTTACAATTGCGGCGGTTACAAAGTGAAGTTGTGGGGTGACTTTATATGGAGTTGGGACCTTTGGGGTTGGGGAAATTCGTCACTCTACTGTAACAGCTGCAAATTGGTTGGGAACAACCAAGCTAGGTTGGCAAGGGTGGCCAACTTGGATGGATTGGTTGGGAAGGGACAAATGTCAAAGTTGGGGTTCCTATAGGGAGGGAATCTTTGTGCTTATGGGGTTTCCTTGGTTGGGGACTCTCTTGGGACCTTCCCTCTCATCCCTCTCTTCTATCCCAACCTTTCTCTTGCTCCTCTAAATTCCTTGTGAGATTCTTGAACTTTCATTGAACTCTTGAGATTGAGTTAAGTTCTCCTCCTACAGCTTACCCCCTAGTGCGTCGAAAGCCATAGCGTCGCGAATACTTCATCAATCAACGTGATTCAAATTGGGAACGGTAGCTGAGATTAAGAGCTACAACATATCCAAGTTTCGCGACATTCCAACGGCTAGGTTTTTGTCGACGTCGTTTCTTGTGAAGACGACTTTTCTGTCCAGAATTTCGGATATATATTTTGAGTAATTCTAGCTCCTAAGTTCACCTAGACTCCGTCCTTAATTCTAACAAGTGGTATCAGAGCTGTATTAAGGACGTTGAGAGGAGTCTACAGAAGTGTGAAGACCCTTCTAGACCCACCATGGCCTGTGGGTGTGCCTAAGTGGTGTTCTAAAGGTTGGATGTGTCTTCCGCTAAGGGAAACTCTGCCGAAATTTCGTGGACGCCGACACTTGTGAAAATATCGAGGGAGCTGAGTGTGGACAGCAAAGGGGGGCTGAAATTCGTCATTTCTCAAGGAGAAGATGAATGAGAGAGGAGGAGATGCTAATGGAAGAGGAGCTGTAGCTGAGAAGACAAGTGAACCGCCGCCATCAAAAGTTGAAGCTTTGGATGGCTCCAACTATGAGGAATGGAGCGGACGGATGAGAAGTGCCTTCAAACGCTACAAGCTACTGAAGATTGCTGTTGGGGAAGAGAAGATGCCGGAAGAAGGCGAAGCACGTGAACGGTGGATTGAGAAAAGCACGGTGCTTTTCGACCTCATCCTTCAATCGGTCAACAAGGAGATGTTCGAGCACATCAAGGATCTTGTGGAAGCGGATGATTCGGGTCCAAGGGCGTGGAAACTACTACGCGATGTGATTCAGCCCAACACTCTCCTGATGGTGATCGTGCTCGAGAAGGAACTTGCTGCCATCTCCATGCGACCAGGGGACGATGTGAAGCCGGTCCTTGACAAGATCAAGGACACCTATGCAAGGATGGCAGCAGCGGGCAGCAGTGTATCTCAGCTGCAGCAGTGCACCAAGATCATCTCGGTGTTGGACAACTCGTGGGATAACCTCATCCCCACCCTCAACTCTCAGCAAGATCAATGGACACCTGAGTGGCTAAGGCAGCAGATTCTGCAGGAGGACTTCCGCAGACGCCATGTGGGAGGCGGTGCTGCCACTAAGACTGCTGAGGGGTATGGAGCTGCAGGGCGCGGCAGAGGAAGAGGGGGTTGGAAAGGCCGAGGCCGTGGGAGGAGCTTTGGCAGAGGTAGAGGCCGAGGTGACTATAATGAGGGGCATGGGAGCTCTAGTGGCAGGGGGAGTACCAGAATGGAGGGCACGTGCTGGTACTGCAAGAAGGTTGGGCATCCTTGGTTCAAGTGCTTCAGCAGGCTGGAGGGATGGGCACCTCCAGGCATGAAGCCGCCCAGTGGTGAACGCGCACAAGGTGGCGCTGTGCAAGGCTCAGGTGCACAAGGTGAAGGTGCACAAGGTAATGCCTATCCTGGTTTGTTTGTTATGGTTGAGGATGTGCATGGGCATGAGGGTGATGTGGGATCTGTGGGAAAGGTTGTGATGCACCCTCTCACGCACTGGGTGATTGATTCGGGTTGCACCAGTCACATGACCCCACGGGCAGATTTGCTTGATGAGGTAAAACCCCCTGGGAAGATCAAGTATGTGGCAGCAGCGTCAGGTGCTTTGCTCCCTGTCATTGGTGTTGGAAATGCCAAGGTTAAGGGAGCTAATGGGGAGCTTGTGGGGCTTGGGAATGTTCTGCTGGTTAAAGGCTTGTCTGCTAACCTTCTCTCTGTGCGACGACTGCAGAAGAGCAAGGCCGAAGTGACCTTTGGACCAACCAGCTGCCGTGCTAAGCTTGGGAAGAAGGTGCTATGGAGTCTGGAAGAGGAGACCAGTTGCATCAAGGACCTGTGGCAGCTGCCCATCATCCCATGGAATGGGAAGACTCCAACAGCAGCAACGGCAGCAGCGGCAAAGGCAACAGCAGGAGGAGATGCAACTGCACCAACTGATGGGGTCCTGGAAGCAGTCAAGAAAGTGCAGCAGCAGCAGAGACATGGTGAGGTGCTTGCTGGTGTGGATGCGAGTGCGGCATGGGCTAAGGCTTCATCAAAGAGTGGAGAGGCCGATTGGGAGACATGGCATGAGAGGCTGTGTCATGTGAACTTCCCTATGCTACAGAAGTTGGTAAAGGATGGGAGCCTGAAAGGCTTGGAGGTGAAAGGGGGAGTGAAGGAGATTGGGAGCTGCCCTACATGCTTGGAGACCAAGTTCTCCAAGTTCCCCTTCAACAGCACTACAGGACCAGCCAAGACCCCACTTGCACTTGTGCACATGGATGTGGTGGGGCCCACAAGAGCCCCTTCCCTCTCAGGCAGCCGCTATTTCTTGACAATTGTGGATGACCACACTCGAGCAGTGTGGGTTTACCCTTTGAACAGCAAGGGGGAGGTGGCAGCGGCTGTCCTTAAGGAGTGGATGCCGAGAGCTCAGAGGGAATGCGGACACAAGGTGAAGGTGATCCGTAGTGACAATGGTGGGGAGTTCATTGGAGCTGATTTTGAGGGGGAGTTGAAGAGGAAGGGGATCCAGCATCAACTGACAGTGCCCTACAACCCGCAGCAGAATGGCGTGGCTGAGAGGTTCAACAGGACCCTGCAGGAGGGGGCACGCACTCTCCTTGGGCGTGCAGGGCTGCCTGATCCGTTTTGGGTGTCTGCACTGAGGCAGGTCGCCCTTGTGAAGAATAGGGTGCTGGCTACAGTTGGAGATAAGGAGTGGATCCCATATGCCAAGTGGTATGGGAGTGCTCCAGCGGTGAACATGCTGAGGGCATTTGGGTGCATGGTGGTGTTTCATGTGCCCAAGGAGAAAAGGGGGAAGTTGGAGGCTTCTGGAAGATGGGGTGTGCACTTGGGGATTGCAAAGGATCACAAGGGGTGGCTGCTATGGGACCTGACCACCCAGAAGCTGACAGTGTCAAGGGATGTGAAGTTTCTTGAGTCCCTGTACTATAAGGAATGGAAGCAGCAGCAACAGAAGCTTCCATCTACACCACTCATTGTGGAGGCAGATGAGTTGCAGCAGCCTTCAAGACAGGTGGAGGTTGCAGTGTCAGAGGAGGAGATGTCTGGGGTGACTGAGGAAGGGGGAGCAGCTGAGGTGGAGCAGCAGCAGCAGCATGAATCTCCACCTCGAGTTCCACACCCGCCTGAGCGTCCTAGGAGGGATGTGCGCCCTCCAGTGAGGCTGACCTATGGGGGAAGAGGCAAGCCGAATGTGGTGCAGGCTGGGAGTGTGGTTGAGCAGATTGAGGAAGATGAGATCGCTCACTGCTACTGGGCACCAATCCCTGAGCCCAAGACTCGAGAAGAGGCCTTGAATGGACCAAATGGGGAGAAGTGGAAGGCGAGTGAGGATGAGGAGTTTGGGTCCCTGATTGAGAACGAGACATGGGACCTGTGTGACTTGCCTCCTGGAAAGAAGGCAATCACTTCCAAGATGATCTACAGGCACAAGTATGGACCTGAAGGGGAGCTGACCCGATACAAGTCTAGGCTTGTGGCAAGGGGGTTTCAGCAGACAAAAGGGAAGGACTATGATGAGGTGTTTGCTCCTGTGGGGAAAGGAACAACACTGAGGGTGCTGTTGGCGATAGCTGCACTCCTGGGATGGAAGATACGGCAGATGGACATTGTGACTGCCTTTCTGAATGGGATCATTCTGGAGGAGGTGTATATGAAGCAGCCAGAGGGGCTGGATGATGGGAGCGGCAGGGTCTGCAGGCTGAAGAAGGCCATCTATGGCCTTAAGCAGGCGCCTCGTGCATGGTATCACAAGTTGGAGGAGGCGCTGCTGGCTGGGGGTTTCAAGAAGAGTGAGTGTGACCCCAGCCTGTTCCTGCTGCAGGAGAAGGATGAAATCCTCATGCTCTTGGTGTACGTGGATGATATCCTTCTCTTTTCTGCATCAACTGCTTTGCTGGACAGCGCAGAGCAGATGCTAGAGATGCAGTTCAAGTGTTCCAAGATGGGTGAGGTGAAGTACTACTTGGGGATGCATGTGGAGAGAGATGTGGAGAAGGGTGTGCTGAGGTTGCACCAGAGGAAGTACTGTGAGGGGCTGGCTGAGAAGTATGGGCTGCAAGATGGGGGAAAGCCAGCAACACCACTACCTTCAGGGTTTACTGTGGAGCCATGTGCTGATGAGGAGGTAGTGGGTGAGAGTGACAGGAAGCTGTTTCATTCGATGGTTGGGTCGCTGAATTATGCTGCAAATCATACACGGCCTGACATTGCATTTTCTACATCACGGTTGGCTAGTGTGGTCTCACGCCCTAGTCATGAGCAGCTGGAAGCGGCCAAGAGGTTGGTCCGCTATGTGAGTGCTACGGCATCAGTGGGATTGGAGTACAGTGGAGTGAGGCAGCGGTTGCAGAGAGGTGCTGCAGATGTGAAGAGTGGTGAGATGCTCTTGAGTTGCTATACTGACGCTAGCTTCAACTCAGTGAAAGCGGATGGCACCAGCATTGGGGGTTATGTGTGCTTGCTAGGAGGTGGTGCTGTGAGCTGGCGCAGCAAGAAGCAGAATGAGGTGGGATTGTCCTCATGTGAGACTGAGTACATGGCCTTACACCATGGGGCCAAGGAAGTAGTGTGGCTAAGGCGTTTGTTGGAGGAGTTGGGAGTTGGTCAGGAGGAGCCGACAGTTGTGTTCTGTGACAATGAGTCTGCTGTGAAGCTCGCCAAGAATGCTTGTTTGCATGGGCTGACAAAACACATAAGGCCTAAGTGGCACTGGGTGAGGAGACTCCTTGATAAGGAGGTGCGGCTGGAGATAGTGAAGACCCATCAGCAGGCAGCAGATATTTTCACCAAGCGTCTGGCGGAGGCGGATCATTGGAAGGGCATGAAGCTTGCTGGGATGAGTGTGCATTGAGTATGCATGCTTGAGATGTTGGTATGGTGGTTGATGGTTGGCAGCCAGAGGGGGAGATTGTTGTGTGATGTCATCATATGTTATCACATTCTGTCTGCCTCCCATCCCTTGTTTCAATTCGCACGTATGGTTTGACTGTGTGTGAAAGAATTTGTGTGGTGTGTGTTCTGGAGTTTGGGAATGTGTTTTGTGTTATTCTGTCTGAGCAGGTATTTGTGATGATAGATCTTGAGAAGATCTTTCCGACGCAACAAGAATCGCGTCAATCGGAGCAAGAACGCGAAAGCTATGAAGATTCAAAGTTCATGAGCTTGCGTTACAATTGCGGCGGTTACAAAGTGAAGTTGTGGGGTGACTTTATATGGAGTTGGGACCTTTGGGGTTGGGGAAATTCGTCACTCTACTGTAACAGCTGCAAATTGGTTGGGAACAACCAAGCTAGGTTGGCAAGGGTGGCCAACTTGGATGGATTGGTTGGGAAGGGACAAATGTCAAAGTTGGGGTTCCTATAGGGAGGGAATCTTTGTGCTTATGGGGTTTCCTTGGTTGGGGACTCTCTTGGGACCTTCCCTCTCATCCCTCTCTTCTATCCCAACCTTTCTCTTGCTCCTCTAAATTCCTTGTGAGATTCTTGAACTTTCATTGAACTCTTGAGATTGAGTTAAGTTCTCCTCCTACAGCTTACCCCCTAGTGCGTCGAAAGCCATAGCGTCGCGAATACTTCATCAATCAACGTGATTCAAATTGGGAACGGTAGCTGAGATTAAGAGCTACAACATATCCAAGTTTCGCGACATTCCAACGGCTAGGTTTTTGTCGACGTCGTTTCTTGTGAAGACGACTTTTCTGTCCAGAATTTCGGATATATATTTTGAGTAATTCTAGCTCCTAAGTTCACCTAGACTCCGTCCTTAATTCTAACACACTGCAGCCTGAAATATTTGAAGACACAACCCAACCTTTCCAGGCGGCAGGTCCGGTGGATCAACTTCCTCGAGACACACTTCCACTACGACATCGTGTACAAGCTCGGCCACAAAAACAAAGCAGACGCTCTGAGCCGACCTGCACACGTTGCCGCTATTCAGATTGAAGGGATGAATCCACTCCTCAAGGGACTCTTCACATACGGGTACGCCATTGACCCTGAAATTCCCTTGGCAGCAAAGCAACATCTGCTACAGTGGGACAGTGACATCGCGTCCCGGAAAGGATCAACAAAAATCAGGGTACCCAATTACCCTCCTTTGCGCCAGTTACTACTCGAAGAATACCACGACGTCCTATACGCCGGACACTTCGGTAGCAACAAGACGCTGACCGGTATTGCAAAACACTATTACTGGCCCCACTTGGCAGAGGATGTTCAGAAGTTTGTCACCTCGTGTAATACATGTCAGCGGATGAAGAGCAGCAAGCAGAAAAAGGCGGGACTACTGCAGCCTCTTCCTGTCCCAGAACAACCATAGCAAGTGGTTAGCCTGGACTTCATCATCGGGTTACCACCTACCACCAGCGGTCATGACGCAAACCTTGTCGTCATCGACAAATTCTCCAAAACGGGACACTTCATCTCGACACACACGAAAGCACGCACCGAGGAGACAGCACAACTATTCATTCGATACATCATCTCACAGCATGGCATTCCGACCACACTCATCTCCGACCGAGACCCCAAGTTCACCAGCAAGTTTTGGAAGGAACTTATGTCTCTACTCGGGACCAAACTCGCCATGTCATTCGCTTACCATCCGCAGACAAACAGACAGACCGAGCGCCTCAACCAGATTGTCGAGCAACTCCTCCGAGCAGCCTGCAAGGACGAGATCTCCAAATGGGACTTGCACCTGCCCGTTCTAGAGTTTGCTTACAACAACGCTACACATGCCGCTACTGGACAGACGCCGTTCTTCCTCTGCTACGGACGCCACCCACTCACACCACAGAAACTGACAACATCCGCTACAGTCCAACCTGCACATGATTTCATCACAACCATGCATCAGCTTTGGGATCGGACCCACAAGCGCCTCCTCGATATTCAGCAGCAACAAAAGCGCCAGGCCGATCGCCATCGCAACGACCACACCATCACGGTGGGAGACCAGGTGCTTCTTGACACCCGCAACCTGGACATCAGCCACCTCCCATCTAAACTTCGACCTCGCTTCTGCGGGCCTTTTCTCGTTGAAGCACAGGTCACTCCGCTTACGCCTGCCAGCTACTCGGAAGATTCACAATGCCTTCCATGTCCAACTTCTGAAGCCCTATCGAGATCCAAACACGATCTTCGTCGGACGCCAACCGCCGCCGCCGCCGCCCGTCCTTGTCCAGAATGAACCCGAGTACGAGGTCGAGTCTGTGCTTGCACGCCGCCGTCGTCGGAATGGTACCGTGGAGCTTCTCATTCGTTGGAAGGGTTATGATCCTTCTGAGGACAGCTGGGTATCTGAGTCCGGCATGGGTAACGCCCGTCGTCCTCTGCATGACTACCTTGTCAAGCAGGGTGTTACTTCTACCACCCAGCTTTGAGGGGGGGAAGTGTGAGAGTACGACCCCGTTACACCATTTGGCCTTTCCTTATTTCCTTCCTATTTCATTTCTCTTTTTATCTCATCTCATTTGGTTTCCTCTTCTCCCTATTCCATTAACCTTTGGTTTATCCTGCTATTATAATTATATCACCGACCAGGCTTGGGATGTACTGGTGCGCTATATCTAGCGTAATCTTGCCGTAATCCCTTAAAGCCAATAGCCTCGCGTGGCTATACGCAGGGTGATTCTATCTTCTAGAAGGGTCTATTCCCTTGGGATAAGATAAACCTGGTTACCTGATGTACTCTGGAAGTATAAAAGCGCCTTGTACTGATCGATAGTGCAATCTTTCCTCGAGTCATTCGATCCTATGACATCGAGTCTCAGGGCACAGTATCGCAACCTGTGGCTGTCGGTGATCACATATGGCATGCACCACCTCCGCCCGGACGCACATCCATTCTATATCGATCCAAAGATGGAAGCCGTGATGGAGTGGGCGAGCGACTCATGGGCGCTTACCGGCCAGGCGACCGCGCAGCGGAGCTGGTGGCATATCGGCTGCGTGCCCATGGCCTAGACACCTTCCCTGAACGTGCTCATGCTGAGGGACCATTCGTGGATGTACGAACCACAGCTGGACAACATGCTCTATCTGCAGCGAAAGATAGGCGCACTCCGTCTGGGCTCTAGCGCAATGCGTGTGCCGGAGTGCATTTCTTGGGACGGCGAACCCCCTCCCTGTTACGCATGGTTTCGGACAACAGCACAGAGGCTGGCAGACAGCAAGGAGCCAAAGCTCTTAGAACATGTGGGGCCGATCACCGAGGATGCCAGGAGCCAGCGCGTGGTGCGCCGCCTGGCGGCCGACGTTTTCACACGCTATGCGTGGACTGCGCAGATGGAGCTGGCACGCGTGAAAGAGCTGGGCCTCTCGGCAACCCCGCCCTTATCGACCTGCTCGACCGCTACCGTTGCAAGCGTGGCCGTCCATCGGGTAACAGCACGGTGACACAGGACAACGACAGCGATTCAGATGGCATATCGGAGGAGGACATGGACGCCGCCATGGCTGGGATCGAAGATCTTGCGGAAACTGTCTTGGAAACGGCTCGCCGGGCAGACAAAGCATAGGGTTCGTCACGACACTCATCCACTGTTTCCAGGTGCCATTGCTCGGGAATTTGCGTATGCTACATCCACCATGAGCCATTTGCGCGTGTTATGTCGTGCTAAAAACTTACATATAGCTGTCATGTTGTATGTTTTCTGCTTTGTCAAAGTGCAACGGATTCTTCTTGCTGGCGTATCCCCCTTTGCAGTTTGCCTTAGCATGGCGTTGCACTTGTATGAGTAACATTGAGCTGCATTGCAAAAACCGCAACTTAGTCAGGCTCGCAAGACTACTAATTCCCCACCATTGTTAGCCTCGCACACCAGCTCGGGTTTGCCGCGTCATGCATCGCCAATTTGGGGTTCATTCACGCCCGTGGTTGATGATACGCAAAGTCTGCCACATAGGCAAAATCAGCATTTGTCGCCGAGGTGGCGACACGTGTACAAGGAACGCCGGTTTTTTGTATAACAAAAACCGATACAAAAGCGGTGTGGATGTGTGAGATGCACGAGTCAGCCTCAACCTAGATGGGTGGTGCACCACGGCGGCCCACAGTTCCACGTACATCTCTCCGCTCCAGTCCTCTGCTGCATACTCGCATGCTTACTAAGCTTTGGTGGAGATGGTTTTCCTCGTTATTATTCCCATAACCCATACCTAGATAAATTATGGATCCCAAAGAAATGGCGTTTGTGGCTCCTGGCCAGCCCCGGCGATTCTGCTGACGTAGTTATTTTCTGCGGTCGCACCTGGTGGTCGCTGCCACTGCGATGCAGGTCTACGGTGTGACGTGGACAGCGTGCGGGAAGACGCCATCCCCTTACGTCATACTATGCACACTGCACATGTTTCTAGGACGAGATGCGGGCTGCCCACCCGCTGGCCACCCGCCACGGGCTTACGGGGAGGCCCGCTTGTCTCTCGGCTTGGATGTGGACGCCAACCTGCCGTTTGTGTACGTCATGCTGATACACGCTGTCCACAGGGACGACGACAAGACGGACCAGCGACGGCGAAGCATCGCCGCCTTTATGGACCTTATAGCAGACCATTGCCTCATTAACCCAAGTGCGCGCACGCTCGCAGACGTCAAACTGTCAGCGGTCTAAGAGTACGACTACAGGCGCACCCTGTGGGTGTATGCCAACTCGTTGGGATATGAGGTGCATGGACACGATTAATGCTGCGACATTCCCGTAAAGGCCGACCCCTTGGCTATGCCCCTTCCTGACCGATGATATCGTCCATTTGTTGTCGTCTTTGTCAAATGCCGCGCAGGACGAGATCGCCACCGATGGGTCCGGCTGGTGCACCGACGACGAGGCCGCTGCCATTGCATTGGCGTGTGAATTGCTACCCGGCCTCGTCGCCCCAGGAGAGATGCCAGGAGACTCGAGAGGCAGAGGGCTAGATGCCATCGTGCGAGTCGGCAAGCTTTCACACGTGCTGGGCATGGAACACTGGTTCATAAAGCCGCGTCAAGGTCTCAACGGTCGCAAGACGGCAAATGCTCAGCGCTCGAGATGAGGGAAGCGACGAAGGTTGGTTCGCGTGGACCCTTCGCCGCGCGCAAACCATCGTGCTCGCGTTGCGTTGTCTGAGCGTGTTACATGCACTTCAACACAGGGTCTGGTGCTTATGTTCTTATGCGCTAGGGTTCCATAAATATTTGTACAAACGGTGTTCGGCCATATGCTTGCCGCCTTATGAAGACGGCACAAATGTTAGAGTAGCAGGAAAAGGTGTCGAAGGGAAAATCGTCGAGGGATACAAAATAGGGCTGTACTCACTAAGAACTAAACTAGCTAGGCTATTAACAAATAGGAACTAGCTAATCTATGTAAATATATTTGTTGACACACCCCCTAGCCTAGATAGTGGCAGTTCATAAAAAGGCAGAATGCACCAGGGCCGCACTACTAGTCTGACCTCAAGTGAAGGCAACAAGACAACTCAAGGCAGCACTACTAGTCTGACCACTGAGACAAGAGGCCACAAGGCCAGTCAGCAAGTGTAGCAAGGCATGCAAGTATAGAACAACAAGTACAAGCACGTATATTATGAATCAGGATACAAGGAGTGGTGCTCCTACGTAGACTAGACCAAGCTGAGTACAAAACCGCTGATGGTCACGAGGCATAAGTGCCTTGGTGAAGATATCAGCAGTGTTGGCCTCAGAGGCCAGCTGTACCACACGAGCCTGGCCGCGCTGCTGCAACTCACGCAGCAGGAAGTACCGCAGCTAAATGTGATTCACCCTGCCCTCAAGTCGAGCCTCTTGACACAGGAGGATCATGGCCCTGTTGTCAGCAAACAGGACCGAGGCAGACCTAGGCTGCTCACCAAAGTCAGTCAGCAAGAACGTCAGCCAGCGGAGCTCCTGAGCGGCCATGGCCCCAGCATAGATCTCTGCCTCACAACTAGACTGAGCTACAGACGACGACCTGGTGGACCTCCATGAGACTGCACCAGCACCAAGACCAAAACAGTAGCCCTGAGACAACCTGAGCGTCTCCAAGTTGTCAGCCCACAATGCGTCTGTGTGACCAGTGAGCACCACTGGCTCGTGTCCTCCTAGCACAAGCCCCAAACCTAATGTACTCGCCAGAAACCGCAGTACCCTCTTGGCAGCCAACCAGTGGAGTGGTTGATGCCTGCCTGTCCCAACAAAGCGAGCCAGAGGACTGAGAGGGTACGCTAGATCTGGTGGAGTGCAGGCCATCAGATACATGAGACACCCCACCAGCTTTGCGTATGGACCACTAGCCTCGACCGGCTCAGCCGGAATAGGAGCAGAGAGCTTGTGATCCACAGGTAGAGGGCTGGGTTGTGCTGAGGTGTACTAGAGACTGAACCTCTGGAGGATGTGATGCACCATATGGGGCTGGGAGAGTGTGATCGTGCGAGCAGCACGGTCACGAGAGATCTCCAAGCCCAGATAGCGCTTCAGCTCCCCCAAGTCTGTACAAGTAACTCGGCCTTCACTGAGGCCAGTTCGACTCTGTCAAAAGTAGCAAAGATAAGATCGTCTACGTACACTAGAATGTAGAACGATGTCTGACCCGTGCCAACAAAGAGAGAGGGGTCAGCAAAGGACGGAAAGAACTGCAGCTCAGCAAGAGTGGCGCGAAGCGTGCCGTGCCACTTAGGGGGTGCCTGACAAAAACCATAGACAGGACAGTGCAGGCTCCACTCGGTCCCAGGTGGGAAGGATCCAGAGAAGCCTAGAGGGCGCCGGAGGTAGATGTGCTCGTGCAGACTACCCTAAAGGAACGCGGTAGAGAAGTCGAGTGAGTGAAGCTCGTAGTCACACTGCGCAGCTATGTGAAGAAGGACCCGAAGTGTAGTCATCTTCAGGGTCGGAGAGAAGGTCTCGAAGAAGTCCACTCCCTCACGCTGACTGAAGCCTCTAGCCATGTAACGCGCCTTGAACTTGGCGGCTCTCCAGGTGCGCGCTTCACCCTGTAGATCCACATGCCATTGACTACGTTCGACCCAGGCGGGGGAACTGCCTTGATGTAAGTGCCTGAGGATCTGTAGGATGCCATTTCAGCCTCCATGGCCTGTATCCACAGGGCTGCCCAGGGCCCCAATGCTGCCTCAGCGTAAGAGTGTCGAGAGCGTCTGGGTCACCCTCTGGGGATACAAGCATGGAGCAGAGATGGGGAACAGCGGCAGCAAGGTAGGCCAACTCGTACTGCATGTCCTCTAGCACGTCACTGCCAAGGGCAAGTGCACCCCTGACGGACAAACCGGCAGTACCAGAGACCAGAGCGACAGCGTAGTCAAGGCGGTGGCTAGCAGCAAAGTCAATGACAGCAGCGACAAGCACAGAGGCGGACTTAGGAGGAGAAGTAGGGTCAGTGAGAAGCGACGCAAGCAAGCGCAAGAGGGTAGCACAAGCAGTGAGAGCAGTGTCAGAGCGAGGAGGGGGGAACGACGGGAGCGATGACGGGGGAGGCAACGAGACGACTGTGACTGGAGGAGCATGCGAACGAAGAACCATAGGGTGGACACTAGGACAAGGAGTGACAAGACGAGCACCAGAGGGGCAACGGACGCAGTGGGGAAGAACGGGGGACGAGTCAGGGGACGGAGGGGAGCGTGGAGGAAAACGAGCCAATGAGGAGTCCGGAGGAGGGAACAATGGGCCGTAAACAAGGTCACGCACCGGAGGGGGAACGGGCGGGCGGACAGGGGAACCTGGAGCAAGACCAAGGAGGCAAAGGGTAGACTGCGGCTGCTCCTGCTGCGGAGGCTGCACCTCCTGCTGCGGCTGAGCCTTCTGCTGCGGTTCCTGCTGCGGCTGCTGCTACTGCTGAGGCTACCGCTGCGGCTGCAACTGCTCCCTGTCCTCTTCAAAACCTCCAGCCGTACCCTGGCTGCCACCGTCACTCCCCAAAACAGCACCCCTAAGACTAGCGCCCTCGGACGCACCACCCACAGAACCAGCACCCCCAGAACTCGCACCCCCTGAACCAACACCCCCAACACCAAAACCTCCAACACCAGCACCCCCAGAACCAGCACCCCTAGAACCCACTGCTCCCTGCTGCGACCGCTGAGGCTGCTAAGGCGGCTGCTGCTGCTGCTGCTGCTGAGGCTAGGAGGGGGGCAGCTGAGGTGACTGGGGTACCAAGGCTGGGGAAGGTGCCACAGGGACAGCAGGCACGCCCCTAGCAGCTGGGCCCCCTGAGTCAGCCGACTCCCCCACAGGTGCAACCGAGGGAAACTGAGTGGCGTGGGAGACACCAGACTGGGCCAGGCAGGGTGGGAGGGGTGTGGCAGGTGGGGCAGGGATAAGGAAGAGAGGAGGAGGAGGCATAGGAATGCTGTGGTATGGGAAGTGCCAGTATTAGGGGAGCGTCTCGTCAAAGGTAACGTCATGAGAGTGGCAAAAGTGGTGGTGTGACGGGTGGTAGAACAGCTAGTCAGAGGCGTCAAGCGGAAACTCCAAGAAGACACAAGGAAGGGTGCGGGGTGAGAGCTTGTCCGCGCTTGTATCGCGGATGTGAGCAAAGCTGCCCCAGATGCGGAACGCAGATGTGGCACCAGGAGACCCGGTCCAGAGGAGGTTCGGCGAAACCTGTGGCCGCTGGGAGTGCGGCCACAGGTTAAGCTGCTGAGCAACGTAGCGCACAGCGAACGGCCACAGAAAATGGGGTGCACCGGCGTGGATCATGGAGGTGCGAGCCACCTCCATGATCAGGCCGATGCGTCGCTCAGCAACCCCATTCTGCTGTGTGGAGTCCGGCAGTGTGTATGTCTGGCGGATGCCCTCCGCATGACAGGACTGTCCTAGAGTGCATAAGGTGAACAGGCCACCTCGGTCAGAGTGTAAGCGACCTACAGGCAGATGGTGGTGGGTGCCTCAGGAGGAGAACGGTAGGCATGTAGGCCTTCCGCTCCAACAGGAACACTTAGGTGAACCGCGAGAAGTCGTCAACGACGACTAGGAAGTAGCGCTCCCGACTAAGACAATGGACCGAGGCAGGGACCCAGACGTCCATCTGCAGTGTCTGTAGCGGCGCTGTGGTAGGAGGAAACAATGAGTGAGGGGCGGCGCGCTGCCGGCCCTCGGCGCAGGAGGTGCACAGTGGCGCTAGTGATGGAGGCAGGGTGGGGAGCAATGTAGGGAGACCAGTGACTAGACTTGCTGGGACATGTGCCTAAGATGCGGGAGTGCAGGGTGACTAAGTGGTGGTGCCACAAAAGGGTCGGGTTGGCTAGTGAGCGACAGGAGCAGGACGCGGCGATCTTGGCAGATGCAACAGCCGGCAAGGACTCAGTGTGCAGTGTGAAGAGACCTGACCTAGGGTCACGCTCAAAAGTGGCTAAGTGTCGACCGGTGGCTGTGTCTGTGCAAGCGGCGTGTCTCTCGCGGCCAGGGAACGTAGTGGTGACGCCTCGGTCTTGGAGGTGACCGACACCCACTAGGTTCCTAGCAAACGAGAGGATGTGAAAACCTGTAAGGGAGCCGGAAGGGACAACTGGACAGGGGAGAGTGGTGGTGCTATGTGTGACAGCTGTGGCGGAGGAGTCTGCTAGTGCGATGCGGACATGTGCACGAAGCAGGGTGAGAGCAGTACTTTTTCAAACAAAAAAAAAGCACCGAGATGCGCCAGAGTCTAGGACAAATGAGAGGGCCAATGTGGTGGGGGCCAGTGAAGAGTCTCTAACAGGTCCTATGCCTTACGCAGCAGAGGAGTCTACGCCTGACGCAGCAGCAGATCCTAGACTACACACAGCAGTAGCTCCAAGGCTCCAATGGCTGTTCAATGATTCCTGTAGGGAGGTGGCCCCTAAACGCCGTGTCGAGAACGTGATGTCGGGAAATAAATGTGGCGCGTGCGGCTTATGCCATGCGGACTACAACTCATTGCGTTCCCACCTAGAGCTATCCGAGGTATGCTGGCAGAGATAAGCGACAGCACGCTATCGCGACCTCGAAGAGGCATACAAAGAGGCGGCACTACTAGTCCAACCTCTGAGGTGTCGAAGTATACTCGACACAGTTTACTTATGCATTCCTGATATAACATTTAGACTGTATTAGTAGCGAGGTACCTCATATGGAAGGATGCACGTGATGACGTCAACAGTAGCGAGTCAGCGCGTGAACAGTAGGTTCGCGCGTATAGTCACCCAAAGGGTCACGCCACTCTCAGTTACACAAACAGTCACTAGTCATGTCACGCGAATAGTCGCGATACACTACGAACAGGTACATCTGAATAGGTACTTCCTAGACTATAAATATGTCTGTATTATCCATTA